AGCCTTCACCCAGATGCAGCCACTCCATGGCTGTGCAGGACATGACCTGTTAAGTGGGAGAAGGGTCTCTGGTCCCAGTTCACTGCCCTGACCTTGGGCTCTGCTGTTCAAGCAGCAATCTGGGTACAAACCCAGAGAAAGGCATGGGGATATCAGAAAAGGAAAGCTGGATCAATGTAAGTCGGAGAGGGATGGAAGGGGAACAGCCTGGGGAAGAAATGGCTATGCAGGTCAGCAGTATGGGAGGAAGGAAAACAGAAAAGAGAGACAGGAAAACAGCTGGCAAAATGGGAAGAGGGTGATGCTGCAGGTGCAGGAAAGCAGTGTTAGAGCAAGAGATGGTAGGAATACGATGGAAGAAGCAGTAGAAAGACATGATGGAGAAGAATAGAGGAAGAAACTGGGCGGGGGTATAAGGGAAGGGAGCCTGAGATAGGTAAAGGAAGAGACATACAACACAATCAGTGGTGTAGGAGCAGCAGCAGGTGAGGAAAGCAGCACAAGGCATGTTTGGCCTGGGAGAAGGCAGAATAGAGTGTCTCTGGAATGTAGAAACAGCTTTTACCTATAGGAGAAATTTTAGCAGAATAAGTTTGGACTTTTTGTGAGATGTAGAAGAAAAAATAAGAGATTAGATCCACTATTCCCAGATGCTGCAGTATGCATCTATGTGGTACTCCATAGTGGCAAACAAATAGGATTGAGGCAAAGAACTTAATGTGTTCCAGAAGTGAGAGACAAAACAAGTATTTCTCTTCATCCTAATGGAGAACTGGGGTCCAGAGATGAGAGATAACCTGACCGAGGTCACTCCAGAAGGTTGCAGCAGAGCTGGGATGATAGCTGCAGGTTCTCAGGCTGTTCTAACTCTCAGCTGCCTAATCTTCAGGAATCTGGCTAGACACAATACAGGCTGTTATTTTAAAGAAACTCAGATAAAGAAATGTGTATTTTTAAATTGCAAAAGTGATTGTGGCTTTTCTCTCTTCTCTGTTGTTGCATTTTAAGGTGTGCTGGATGTAACAGCCTTGGGCTTTTCAATCCAATAACCTGTGCACCACTCATGGAAAGGAAAACTATGCCAAAATGGCTTGGGCATCTCAGAGTGGTGAACAGCTCTAATGGAGACTATTGTGCCTATAGCAAAAGCTCGAAGCAGCTTTCTCATAAATCTTACTTTAAAGCATTGTGTACTAATTTCTCAATAGTATGTGACACTGACTGCCTGGAAAATAAAATATGGAGTGTGACAGAATACAAAAGGGCTAAGCTACAGATTCATGAAACCGTTGCATTTTAAACCTCAATAGAGAGTCATATTTTCTTCTATTGTCTAAGAAAACATGTTTTTTCCTAATTGGCCAAAGTGGGATTAGAAGCTGTGAAAGCCATACACTTTATAAAGCCTTCTGGGAGTTTACAAAAGGCAGATATTTTCATGTACATCATCAGTGGAACTCCAAGTCATGCAGCTTCTCTGTGGTACAAACTAACAAAGAGTTGGAGAAATATGAGCACAGAGCTTCCCCATTTTCTTCAGTTTTCGGACAGTGGAGCTCATCCCTCCTTCTGTGCCACAGTAAGGACACCCTGGACCCCTAACATGAGCCCTTATCATGGTTCTCCCCCACCCTCTGTGGTTGCTTCTTGGAGTGGAGAAAATGTCAGTCATAGGATCATAGGACAATTCATGTGGGAAGAGACCCCAGGAGGTCTCAGGTAAAACCCCTTGCCCAAAGCAGAGTCAGCTATGGGATATGGGATCCTACCAGGTTGCTCAGGGCTTTGTCCAATCTGGTCTGCAGAGTCTCTCTGGGCAGCCTCTGCCACCACCCCACTGTACTCATGGGTAAAAGGTTTCTCCTTATATGCAGTCTGAAATTTTCATTTCAAGTTCTGCTTGTTGTCTCTTGTTCATCTGCCACACAGCACAGTGAACAGCCTGGCTCTATCTTTTTAGCAACCTCCCTGGGGGTTCTGTGGGGCTGCTGCTAGGTTCACATCCCAGGCTTCCTCTCCCCAGGCTGAATAAGTCCTGTTCTCCCACCTCTCCTGAGCAGGGCAAGTGCTTCAGGCCCCAGGCCTCTTGATGGCCCTCCACTGAACTCACTGGTTTGTCCATGTCTGCCTGATATTTCAGACACCAAATCTGGATGCCAGGTTAGATCCCTGTGGTACCATGCTTTGTACTGGCCTCCATGCAACCTGTCAAGTGCCATCCACTAAGCCTGATCATCCAAAGAGTTTCTCAGTCATCCCAACCGTAATGGTCCAATGAAGACATTAACATGACTTTTCAAATTTCCAGAGCACCTTCCACTGGGGAATGTTTCATACAGTAATGCATGGAGGCTCCTGCTTGGTCTGTGACAATAGACATCATTACTACCATTTTGGAGCTCAAAACAAAGACGTGGAATAAATTGATCTAGATCAAGAAAAGAGTCTTAGGCAAGATTAGGAACAGAACAGACAGCAATTGGCTCCTAGTCATAGTCTTGCACACAACTCTCTTGCACACAAATCACGGGTGTCCTTCCACAGGAAGATTTCATCTGCACGTATCTTATTTCACACAGAATACTGAGAGAGCCCGACACCAGTCAAAAAATCCCTGGTGCCTGCTCACAAATTTTGGAGTAATTTAAATCCCTAGTAATAAAAGCTGTATGCTGTTTATTTAGCCTGGCTCTTTTAATGTGCTGTTTGTTGTCTTGATAGTCTATGTCTTCTTCATATTGTAATCATATTAAAAGAGCATTCTTTTCCTGGAATAAAGAGGTAATGATTCACAAGAGGCATAATTATTCCATGCAGTGCAGGCAGGATGCTGCAGAAAGAGCCGTCTTCTTTATGCGTAAGAGGCTTTTATTGCAAGTGTTCTACACAGTAATTAAATTCCTTTGAATGAGGAGGCTAGATTGGATTTTCTTTGGTTTATTGGGAGGAGTCTGAAAAGCAAGGTATTTAGCTCAATCACTATATAATTTTGGCATCTGTTGGAGGTTAGGGAGAAAGGTTCAGGGTGTCTGATTCCCATTTCTCTTACATGTTGTGTTAGCTGAACTCCACTGAATTCAGTTGAATTACACCCTATCTGAATTTGTGTGAGAATCAAGCTCAAAAACCCCTAGCAGGAAACAGCAGTAGACCTGAAAGTATGCTTTAAGAATCCAAATAATCTAAGGGAAAAAAGCCTTGCTAAAGGAAAGTTACTTGCAGTTTCAAAGGCAAGTGTCCAAAAGCGAGGAAACTTTACATTTACAGCTTTCCCTCAAATCTGATGTTTGCCTTATGGCGAGTCCAGTCTTGGCCCAAAGTGGGACAAAGTTTTGAAAGACAGCAGCAAGAAAATAAAAAGTCAGGCAATCATGTAACAAAAATCTGTTCTGTGGCTTAACACCCAAGCCAGGATGCTGGCATGGCACAACTCTTTAGTATTTGAGTTGTCGAACTAAATCATGTTTGTTTAACATCAGCTACGGTACACAGCTGCCAAGTAGGTTTTGGGTTTTCTTTTTAAAGCAAAAGAGTAAAAATGTAAATTAAAAGGAAAACTCTGCTACATACAGCCTCAACATCTATTAGCAATGTAGTTTCTGTCTTACGGCAGGAATTACAGCATGAATTCTTGTTATTCAATAAGGCTATGTCAGGAGGAGGGTGTTGCTCAGGCAGGGAAGATGGTGTGTGACACCCTGGGGGTAATTTCACCCTGCTTAGATGTCTCTGGAGGGAGCATACGCATGATGAGGAAAGTGGACTTTTCAACAGCTCAGAGAAACATCTTGGGGCAATGGAAGGCACTTCCCTAATCTAGGGGCTCCCTGCCTGCCAGGTGTTAACACCCAGTGGGAGTGGGAATCTCTAAAGCGCAGATTGCCAGTAGCGTTCTGTGAAGGTTGGGATCTTAGAGAGGTTTCCAGGAGCTCTGCTGGTATCCCAGTAGTGATAAACCTGGGGCTGAGTGAGAGGAGGGCTGGTTTTGCAGGGAAAACAGCAGTGGGAACGAGGAGGAAGACCTTTGATAATCTTTTGATGAAGACAAAAAAAAAGGCAAATAGGAAGGAGCTTGAATATCGATGCCTGTTAGGAGGAGACTGGGGCTAACCAGAGGAGGACAATGACATGAACTTGGAAGTGACTGACCTGGACCTAGGTCTGAGAAGAACTGGCAAAAAGAAGTCTGCACACTGCAAAACCTTAGACTAGACCTGCCTCATGCCTGTCCATTAGACCCCAAACCCCATAGGGGAATATAATTCTCTAAAATAGGTCCTTAAGTGCAGAATTTGGTTTATTATGAGGAATCTGAAAAGCAAGGTATTTAGCTCCTACCTAGTGTGAAAAGTACAATGCAGAGGAGAGGAACCATAGCAATGGTCTGCAATCATCTGTGATGTCAGCGTGCTTGTCCGAACCCAAGTCAGGTCCAAGTGACTCCCTTACACATATATGTCTGTGATAAACCTTGGGTGTACTCTTCAGTCATCCTTGCAGGATACCAGGCCTGATGGATGTCTGTGGCTGAGGATACTTCTGATTCATTCTAATTGCAGCCAGAATGCTTTGGTTTATTACCTTCACTCCCTCCTACTGGCTGCCAGGCATGAACCCAACAAACTTGTCCCATTGTCCTCCCCTGCCTCTTTCCTTTCAATTCTCTAGTCTTGGTGGTATTCAAGGAGCACCATGAGGCAAATGGGACCCACCAGTCCGTGGCCCAGGACTTTACAGAGGATATGCTGTAAGCTGACATGGATGACTCACATTAAGCCATAGTTTTCCTGTTGTGACTCTACTGACCTCTGAGTGGTTGTGCTTCCCTTCATTAATTCTTAGCAAGGATCCCTCTTGGAGCCAGCTATCTGTACAGAAAGTTGGAAATGGAGCTATACTTTTTGATCAAAGAAAAGGGAATTTTGAAAAAAAAAATTCACAGACTGAATTAAAACTGGTTTTGTTTTACCGATGTTTCTTTTGTGTCTGGACTTCCTGAGTAGAAACAGTTATACCTGAGGACTACCTGGTTGATCCTGCAAACGGGAAGCAATACAGCCTGGATCCTGCCAATGCTGCCTTCGGTTGCATGGGTTCCATGTACACTGTGCGTCAGAGTCCTGCAGATGGACATCCTGCTGGAGGCTCCTCTTCCTCCTGTAGCCATCATCCTGCTCAAATGTCTTCAGGGGGGTCCTCATCTACTGGCTTGCGGCATCAGAATTCCAGCCCAACAAGGAATGGGGCCTGTCTTGAAGGAAATAGAAGTGGTAATAAAACATCTTCCATTTAGTGATGTGCTATGCAGGTGCTGTACTGGAATCTCAACTCATTCCCAAATTCGCTAGAAAATTAGTGAGGTAGTTCTGTGATAGAATCCATCCAGACCACTCATGCTTCCACTTAGAAGGAGAAATAATAACCTAGGTAAACACAAAATCAATCTGTTCATCATTAAATAAAAAGGTGAATGTTTCCTGAAGCTGTTATTATGTAAAGATATGTATTATGTATAATTGTGTGGCAATCACAACTGTTATTATCAACTTAGAGATATAAATATTAATATATAAAGCTCTCCTCCTCATTGATTGATACTGCCTACCGGCAGGTTACTTGTATGACACCAGCTGTGTATAAGATATGATGCAGAACAAACCCAAATATTAGTGCCTACCTTAAAGCATTTTCGCAAAAGGTTTTGCTTCCAGTGTGTGGCCCATCCTGCCCCTTTAATCATGAACTAAGACAGATTTTGCTTGAAAAAGACTCCTCAGCAGAACATGTATTTTTTGAAATAATTTAGCTCACTGCTCAAGGCTCTTTTGTTCTTCAGGGAGCAAAGTCATAAGAAGTTTATCTGCAAATGCAAGAGATGCCATGGGAACCACTGCATTCAGTGACTCTTCTTTTTCCCTTTCTTTGTATTTTTGTCCAGTTACACTGCTAGGACTTATATTTACTGGGTCAGTTGCTCTGCCCATCAGCTATAGTTCCTATTAACCATGATTTTTTTTTTTCCTCTAGAAATTACCCAAGTTCATCAAACGGGTTAGCTAATTCACTGAGCTTCCCTTAACTTTGTTTGCATTTTCCAAGTTCTCAATTAGCAGGTCTTTATCAGTAGTGATTCCAACAGTGTCTTCACCTTTACTAATTATTCAAACTTCATTTATGCATTTTTCATTTTGAAGATAGATCTAACAAAGGAGTTGAATGTCTCAGCCATTTTTAAGTCATTAATTTCTTTCCTTCCTCATTTATTAATGGAGTCTACCATCAATCTAGTGTGGGTTTTTTAGAATCTTTATATATTTGCAGAAGCCTTTCTGGTTCCCCTAGTCCCTTTGTCTACCATTAGATCATTACATTGTCTTTTTCCCCTTGCATTGTCCCTGGAAACTTCAAGTGATTCTGCATATTCTTGCTTGGAAGCCATTCCAGAACCTCTTTCTTTTTCCTTTTCTTAATCTTCACTTAATTCTTTCAGTACCCCTCACCTCCCCAACACCTGTATTATTTCTTGTTCCTGAACTTTTGCTATTTAATATTTTAGAGCATTTTTCTTCCCAAACATGTATTATCCTTGTATTCACTTGTTTATCTAAGTCTGCCTTCTTAAATGCTCAATAACTACCCAAAACCACCATTCACTTTGCTATTATTTTCACACACTTGTTTCCCTGGTTTACCCCTGCATTAGTCTGTTATAGACACCACTGGTAAGTGTTTGGTTCTCATGATTTTTTCCTTTACTTACAGAGTCAACTTTACTTAAAGCAAATTAGATAGTATAGAAATGCACTACTGCAAACAAGTTGTAAAAGGTCATCACTAGGAACTGGTGGCCTCAGTTACAAAGAAAAGGAAATGAAAAGCCACTTTCAGATCTTGTTCAGTGCCTCTCAGGCTGCCATAATCAGGTGCTGGAAGGACAAGAGGCTTAACGTGCCTCCTACTGCTTCCTTAGAGCCTCCTAGCAGAACTGGGACCCTTTTGTCAAGCTTTATAGTTGGCAGCTGTGAGAAGCCAAGACTTAACAATGTTTTTACTTACTTGCTTTAAAAATCTTTATCATTCTGCTTGATATCACTCATTATCTCTTTGTAGTATATGTGAAGAGCCAGGGCAGTTCAGAGCAAAGGTCTGTCTAGCCACACATCCTGTCTCCACCATGGAACAGCTGCGTGCCCCAAGGAAAAGGATAAATGGAGAGGTGGTGCACTACCCACTACCCTTTCTGCCCTCAGAAATTTGTGGCTCAAGGACTTCCTGAACCAGAGGTGGCGGATTCATGTTTAGTAACACTTCATAGATTTGTCTTCCCTGAATCACTCAGTGGCTTATTGAATACTTTGTGCATTTCAGCACACAAAAAATTTCCATGCTTAAAAATGTACTGTGTGCAGAAAACTCGTGGTATCAGGGGATGGAAACTATGTTCAAGAGCCTGAAGCCTAAAATCAGAGCGTCTTAAGCTTGTTCAGCTGCATTACTTTCCCTTCTTGTTTCTGATTCTGAATGTCACCGTTTCTCCGTCTCAGCCAATGCCTTGTGAAAGCTCTGCATGGTCCTGAGCATGAAGCTAAGCTTCAGGAGACAGCTCCATCTCTCTTTTTGTGACTTCCCACAAAGCCCACAGTCTACAAAATGAAAGGTTGAAATATGGCACATATTTTCTCCAGAACTGAACCAACAAAAAAGTCATAGAGTGGTCATGCAACAGGCTTTGAAGGTTCCTGTATTTCTCTAGCTTAAAACTTACTAAAGCACTTTGAGGAGCAAAGAGGAAGAGATTGTGTTCAAACCAGGCATCCATGACATGTATCTCTAAAGCAGTTACAACTGACTTGAAGCTGTTATATATAATACTTGGGGTTAATAGGACCCATCCCAAAACACCTTAGTATTTTTTTATGTGACAAGTATTTGACACTTGCATAGCCTCGATCCTCTGGAATCTCTGTGTCATTTGGCCAGCTCAACAGCAAGGGCTTGCTAAAACTGAAAGGTATACAGTGTACATAATTTAAATGGTTATGGTTTCATTGATACTGTTGTGTTTTTTTTTGTTTTTTTTTTTATTTTTTAACAATTTATTAGTCCTGGTATCACCCACTGTAGATTAGGATCTACCCATACAGAGATGGGTTTCCTGTCAAGGTCTCTAACAGAGGGAATAGCAATCCCCTGTGCTCCACCCATGTATGGCAGCACAAACAGCCAGTGCACATTTGTGCCACCACCATCCATCACGTTTCGTCTGATCCACTCAGCTGCTTTCTGGAGACTCCAGCAGAGTCTCCTGTAGTCCGTGGCAGTAGCCAGGTCCTCTGAGACAGAGGAGAGCCACTTGCTCTCAGACACATCAGGTACTTTTCTGTGGCTGTAATGGGCAACACAGTGAGATCCATGAAGTCAAGGTGCTCACACAGTCATGACAATATCACTTCCAGCATTAAGACACTTTAATGTTTCCAGTCACAGACTGGTTTCACCTCTTACTCCATTTGCCATAGTGTCAGCTCTGTAACACTGCAATCTCACCAGAGTCCTACAAAGCATTTCCTGGTCCTCCTTAAAATTAGAGACCGTATTTCTTCACAGCTATCATATTTTCACCCACCACGTTGCTTCCGCTTCTACTGGCAATCCCAGACTTTTAAAATACACATCTTTCTGCTATTGCCTTAATGCAATTACACTGGAGTTTGATTACTGCCTTCACAAAGTCTCTCTTGCAAAAGTCTTTGGAATCTGCGTATGTTTTTCTCCTTTCTAGGCATAATTTATATGTTGCTGAATCATAAGTAAGCAAAGATGAGTAAGTGGTGCATGCCAGTCTCTGTTCTTATCCTCTTCAGTTTGTATACTTACAAGGCAGGGATGGGCAGGACTCATTAAAAAGAGGAAGAATTTATCTCTGAAACTTTGAATCAGTCCTATTTATTTAGGGATAGTTATGAAAAATATCTTGCCTTATTTATCATGGTGGGCAAATATAATGGAAAAAACCATAATCATAAAACATATCTCATTGCATAGCAGAACATGTCTTTCAAGTGGAATGGATGAGATTAAACCTCAAAGCTCTCATTAATGTGATTGGAAGCTTGATGCCTAATTCTCCTTGATTATGCTAAAAAATTCAGAAAAAAAAAATAAAAAAGATCTATTTCAGAAAGCCAGTTGGGGCTGCTAACAGATAAACATGCACTTTCCTGTCATCATTTGCCAAACTGAAGCTTTTAAATCAGGGAAGGAATAGTCAAGGACATCATAAACCTTTTCAAGCCTGCTTACATAACAGACAAAGCCTTTATCCCAAGTACGAAGAATTGTGTGTTCAACCACTATATAGTAACCTTAACCTTGCCCTGTAGCTTGTTATTTTTATGTAAATTTTATTATCCAATATTAGCAGTTAATTATTATCACCTGAGGGTCTTTGTTATAGAGGCAATTTTGCTTGTTAATGCATATATTTCCTGAAAACGTTTGGGGGCACAGGGTTAGAAATTTCTGTTTTTCCGGAATAATGCTGCAAGCACCTTGTGGGAACTAGATCCAGCACCTCCCCAAGGCAAAGGAGCTGCTGATGGCATTGTGAGCCTCACTGTTGGGTACCATTTCTTCAGCAAATAGAGCTTGCCTGCTAATTTTTTAGGACATTTACAGTCTGAAAGTTTTGGTGCGTTCAATGAGCTGCCTTTTTTTTTTCCCACTACAAAACAGAGGCAAAGTAAGAAAAGGCCAAATAAATATTTAACGCCCATGGCCACATCTCGTGCAGCTGGATGCTGGGCTGCGTCTGCAGCGGGTGGAGGAGCACCTGCGATGTTTCATCCCCACACGGTGTGTTCCATGCTGTAAGTGGGAGCAGCTGCTACCCTGGTGGGACAGGGACTCTTCTCCGATGCACTGCAAGGCTGAGGACACCAGCCAGGTGGTGCTTGACATGTCCTGCAAATGCTGGCCAGTGCAAATGGACGCGTTAAACCCAATCTTCTTTGCAGAGCTCTCTGCTGACCATGGCTCATCAACCCCCCCAATGCTCATAAATATCCTGTAATTGTATCGTCCCAGATGCCCGCTTTTCTGATACCTCTCCTCCCACTTGGCATGCCATAGATTTTTAGAAAAGTGGCTTCTACAAAGCCTTCCTTTTGTCAATTTTATAGTCTGAGGTGGTTTGTTTTTAAAATAACTCCCATTTCTCTGCGCCTTTGAGGGTCTGCTACTTCTGCTTAGTTTCAGTAGATCTGCTGCTCCTTATTATCTGCTCCAGTGCAATCAGAGAGAACCTTTTAAAATTTCATTCCCACCCCCTTCCCTTGAGGCAAAGAAATCATTTAGGCCTGCAGCAATATTAAAGTTCATCTGTCACTCCCTTTCCACTCTTATCTATCAATGACTGTACTCCCTCTGGGCTCTGTTTGTTTGCCAAGAACATATTTAGGGAGTCTGTTATTTGTCTTTCCTTCTTTTGCAGGTTTAACTCCATCTTAGCATTTTATTTCCTTGTCACACCTCTGCAGCCATTTGGGTGTTGGCCCTCTCTTCATTCTCCTTCTCAGGAAGGTCCTGAGGTGAGTGGCAGAGAAAAGCCTGTGTGGAGTGAAAACACAGACCAAGCCAGGCCACGTCTTTCTCTCAGCTTCACTTGGCTTTGGCCACTGATGTGGTAATTCCAGCTGTTTCTGTGCAGGCAATGGTCTCAAGTGGGATGCCCAGAGACTTTCCCCTGCAGAGGAACCTCTTCACTGTTCTTCCCCAATATCCTTGAGGCAGGAGGGGAAAGTGCTTCCCTCTGATTACCTAAATTTCCATATCCCATTCCATTAATTTGACAAATTTTTGCCACCTGTCAAAAACAGGAAATTGGATTTGACCTAGATTATGATCTCTAAAAATAATTATTGGTCGCAAGCACTCCCATCTCTTTGTAATCTGAGTATTCATTATCATCTTGATTAATTCTGATGACAGGATGGCATAGGATACCCTGGAGACATGAGACTTCCTCATTTATCTAATTCTTAGGTTAAGTGCGAACACCTTCAGATAAGAAAAAATGTATAGCACCTGCCCCGCTGCCATCAAACACTTTCATGCTTAATATAGTCTTTCAGCAAACTGGTGGTATTGAAACAAACCCCGTGCCTTTGTGAAGACATGAAATGATCTATTTTCTTTTGTAAATAGAGAAATTACACTCAAATGGGTAAACTAAAATGTTAAAAAAGCCAAATAAATTAAGCAGCAAAATAAATTCTAAAATATATGGAAAACCAGATTGTTTCCAAACTCACCAGCTACAAATTGATATTTGGCCACAAACTGGTGGTATCCCAGTTTTATTAATAACATTTAAAGATAGCCCCTTTTACACAAGTAAAATAACAGATCTTAATTCATGAGAAAGCAGAGGATAATCCAGGACTCGATACTAGGTAGGTAAATAAAGTAAAAAAATATTTGAAGAATTAATATCAACACATAATTCTTGTTTTTATATTATTATGTTATACCTCAGGTGGGGATTTGATAGGGTTATCTTCACCTGCTAGGGCCTGTAAGAGTTCTAGCCATGTAGTCTCTTTAGAAAGGTCATTTATGCATTTGTCTTTAAGAAATCAGATTTGTGCTATTGATTGCTAGATTGTGAAGGAATGAACAGATTCCTCCTGTCATTTCAACCTTCTGTTTTCCTCCCCCTTCCCTTCATTACAGGTACTTCCAATACCTGTGAAGGCTCCCAGCTGCACTCGAGTCTCTCTGCTACCCTTTGCCCTTTCCTGATATTGTATTTCTGGAAGGATCAGGTTGCAGGCAAGAGTCACTGAGCTCCAGGCTGCTCTTTTATGCCCAGTGTGAATCGCAGGATAAGCCCTCTGGGCTTTCCTTACGTTTATACAAATTAAAGGGAAAAAATGGGATTCTCAGCAGCGGCATGACATCTCCCCTGAGCAGGTTATGGTAGTAGTATAGAAACTCCTGCAATACTTTGCACACAGCCAAACCTTTGTCTCCTCCCTCTATTTTCCACCTAGTTTGCAAAAGCCTGTTTTTCTCCCTGACCTTTGGTTTGAGGTGCTGTAGTGCCCAATACCTTCACACATCAGTTGGCATTCAAACCACCGACAGATCATGAAGGGGAGAAATACTCTCCCCTCTATCTCTCAGACAAGTTTCAGTTCTCCCGCTTGTCCCTGACAAAGTTCCTAAATGTTACTGATGATCCAGGGGTTGGCCAAGATTACCCTGTTCATTTTACACTCTTTGTCTTCATTGTTTCATGCCAAAGGCTCCAGATGGTGTCTGTACCATTGTGTATTGCATTTATTTTGTGAGCAGAGCCCAGGGTCGCCTGAGTCCATATGAACACCAGTCCTTGCTGTCTAATTAAAAAGACCTGCGGCTATTCCTTGTCCTTTATATCCAGAACAGTGACTTAGCAAATGAGAGTGCAATTATCATGATATTTACATTCCATCCCATTATGAAGCCCATCAACCAGATTTGCAAATTCATAGCACTACTGCTTTCTGGAGTTCATCCTGAGTAACTGCAAAATATACCTCATTACATTATACTGTGAGATGAGCATAGTGGCAAGAAAAAAAGGGCCAATGTGCACATAAAACCATTATTGGGCATATATGGGCAAAGTCTCAGCTAATGTAAATCAGCAGAGCTCTATTGAAGTCAATGAAATGACAACCTACATAAACCACAAACCCAGCCCAGTACATTTGCTCACATGCATTAGAATCGTGTTTTGAGTCACGCATGAGGATTCGTATACATCTAGTCTGTTTCTATAAGCTCAGTATTTCTCTGGAAAGCTCATCCCTTCTCTCCTCAGCAGTTCTGATTGCCTCTTGTCTACCTGGGGGCTTCTCCAGGCTCCAGTTTAGGTACCTGTGGTCTCCCTCCACCTGCACTCTTCTGTTTCATTTCTAGTCTTCTGTAGTGTTTGCTTGCTTACCATTTGCACATCTCTCATTAAAAACTGGGCCTTGACAGAAAGAGATGAGCAGATGAGGGCAAGTAACATTTTATACATCTGTATGCTGCTGCTTGCTAGGGCAAAGTTTGCTTGATGTGGATATAAACAAACAGGAAGAGCTTTCCTGTAACCTAGCATAGTATAGTTCTTGTCATAGTGAAGCAGCATAAATGAGGGTACAAATTATATTGAGGTGGAGATTCAGATTTATAATTCTGCAGAGACTAAGAATAAAAACATAAATGCACTTTCACTCCAATGTGCCTTTATTCACTTGATTTAAAGCTACAGCAAGCTGAAGTGACCTTAAATCATCCAGGGCTTATACCATTAAAAAGTCACATGTGCAATGTTCATCTTCACATGTTTAGTAACTTTCCAAATCAGCATTCATTGGAGACCATCAGCTTTGTGAGAGACTAAGATTAGGAGGATATGGACTGGAAACCTTCCTTTAAGCTGTAAGTCTGGATATCTGAATGCAAAGGAAAAAAAACCTATTTGCTAAATCCTGATTTTATCTTCTAGCCTTTGCATTCAATGGCAAACTCCTTTGTTTAGTGCTGAAGAATTTTCTCTCCAGGTGGGAGGGTAGCATCTTCTTGAGCCAAGATCCCTGCTGCTTGAAGATCAGACAGCAGGGGCAGCTCGGTTTAAGAGCCTGGCAGCTGGAACATTTTTCCTTCCCCGGCAGGAACTTGAGGGTTTCATGTTTTTTAACGCAATTCGCCAGCTGGGATTGTGTTTTCTGATAAGCAGTCAGATAAGAAACCACTCCATGTCTCCTTTTCTCCTTACTTCACCATCTCAGGCTGATATCTGCACACTCGGGTCCAACATCCAATGCCACATTGGGGCTGCCACACCCCTGCATACTCAAAAACCAAGGAAACTGCTTTGTGCCATTGTAATCTGCTGCTGTGGGCTTTTTTGTACCAATAGCCTCGAGTCCTTCACCAGAACAAGATGCAGCTCGACCATCAAGCAAGAATCCTTTGACCTGGACGGTGGATGATGTGGTTTGGTTTGTGAAGGATGCAGACCCCCACGCTTTAGGTCCCCACGTGGAGCTCTTCAGAAAACACGTATGTAGAAGGCTGCCCTTACCACTTCTGGGTAATTTAAGTCCCAAGAGATAACCAGTGCATGTCTCACATGTACTCTCAGCTGCCTTTGGCTGCTACAGGCAGTGTTTGTGCTCAATCAGGTTGAACACAGGGCCCTGCGAGGGTGGCTCTCTGAGGGACTTGTGCTGAGGAAAATTCACTTATCCCTTGAGAAGGTAGTCAAACACTGGAATGGGCTTCCTGGAGAGGTGGCCAATGCCCCAGCCCTGACAGTGTTAAAGAGGCTTTTGGAAAGTGCCCTTAATAGCATGTTGTAATGTGGTCAGCCCTGAATTGCTCAGGCAATTGGACTAGATGATCACTGTAGGTTCCTTCCAACTGAAACAGTCCTATTCTGTGCTATTCTATGATATACTATGCTATTCTATCCATTTATCCTTCAATGGGGAGACCCTAACAGTGTCTTTATAAAATGTTCACTATTTGTTCCCAACTACTAGAGCATAAATTGTTTCTATGCCAAGCCTACAAAGAAAGAAAGCACTGAGGATCTGGTGCTCATTTTTCATTGTCAGATTGGCACAAAACCCCCCTCATCTCAATGACAATTTTTTTCACAGGATGTCTATGATTCTTCTCTGAAGACCATTTTTTATGTGTCTCTAGATATTTAGCAGGAGAAACCTAAAACAACCAAGCTTTTAATCCTTTTCCCCTCAGTATTATGTAACTACATAACCAAATTTAACAGACCTGCTGACTCACTGGAGGATATGGTAGTTGCTTTTGTGATGCAATCTCCAGTGATGGAAATTATATTATTCATAATTAGTAAAGAGGAAGACTGTAAACTCATCTGATCTGAAATTTCTTGTTCTGCTGCTTCACATGAAGTTGGCACCGGTGTATCTATTAGCATCTTTGGCCTTCTCCATCTGTCTTTGATCAATTCAGTCTGACCATGAGAAATGGATTTTATTGTAAAAATGACTTGTTTGTGTTCAGCTGGAGGTCATAACTTAGAATGTAAGTGCCTGGACCTGGGTCTAAATGAGAGTTGCTCCCCAGCCCTGAGTCCTGAACAGCACTCCAGGTGCTGCAAAGCAAACGAGAGGGTTTGGTGACTAGACCTCACTCCTTGCCATGTGCCAGCAACAATAGGTAGGAATGTGGGGCTACAGACAACAGCTGAGGGAGACAAATTATGGACTTTCAACTACACTCTGGATGCAGGATTTCCAGATACTGAGGAGAGGAGGTGACTGAGGAGCAGATAAAAATGAAGATGAACACAGGCCTTAGTGTCTGCTTACCCTAAGAAGGTATTGAGGTCATCTGCCATTCTGTAGACAGGCCTGTGGCACGAGAGCAACAGCAGGCACAGTGGTGTCAGGGCCAAATCTGCAAGTACAGGTCAGGTGCTGGCCTACTTTTCCTGCTTTCTGCAGAGAAGTCAGATCTGCCTTCTAAGTTGATAATGAAAACATGGCCTATTTTGGTCATGTGGGCAACCAAGCAGACAAACAAACCACCTTCAGATTTGAAGTAACTTGCTTCAGAATGAGTTTCTGAGAGTACCAGAAGGGGCTGTGCATCATGCAAGGCAGAAATATGTACATCCCAAAGGAAAAAAAATACCAAACATTTAATGTTTGTCTTGTAAATATGAAGAGTGCAAAACCACTAGTTTTTTCTAGTTTCCACTTGTAGCAAAGTATGGCACAACATGCTTTTATGTAGCAGCAGGGCAGTGGCACAGTACAGGCAATCATGGGCCAGCTGCACTAGAGCATGCCATGATACTGCAGCTGCTCTATGACTGAAGAGATCAAGCTAAATTACCACTAAAGACTGTCCCTGTCATCCTTTGCTGCACACCCAGCACCCATAGGCTCTACTTATCATTGGTTTCCTGGTAAAATACGCCACAGGTGTGAGAACCTGGGTATGATTGCCACACAACTCAATTCAATTACACCTTTGAGTTATATATGTCCCTGCAAATTTTCAGCCTTCAAACCTCATCTGGATTAGCACAAAGACCCCGGGGTGAGAGACAAGTGATTAGTCCATTAACCTCAGCCATATCTTCCTGTATGTTCAATATTTATGTGAAGAGGGTGCATAATTTACTTAGAAGCACTTACTGTCATTGACAAGGCCCAGCTATTGCCCGAAATAGTTGCATTGGTAATCAACTCATCTGAGTTATGACACTGGCAGGGGGAGGCTGGTGGGACCAGCAGGAAGAAAAGGCTGGAGGATGTATCCTGCATGCAGACAGTATGCTTTCCCACTGCTCTATTTGGGTGTTGACCTCAGTCCCCGGAGCCAGCTTTTCCTACATGCAGCCCACATCCTTCACTGGCACAACAGGTGCTGCAGGATGATCTGGCTCTGTCTCTGCTCTTTCCACCAGGAGCAGAAGCTTTTCTACTTGCCAAGACACCCAAGGAGCTCTGTCACAGGTAGCTCTTGAGAGTGTCTACCAGAGACTGAGAAACATCCTACTAGCTCCCCTCCACTGTTCCCTGCTCCCTCACCATGTCTGTGTACCAAGGAGAGCCAAGCTCATTGATGACAGAGCTTTTGGTCTCATGGAAAGGAGCCATCGGCCTGGCCAGGGACCTTGTAGCAGCATGGTGCACCATGCAGTGCTCCTTCAGCAGGAAAGGGTTGGTAGAAGGGAAATGGCGAAGTGGAAAGAGTTACACTGGGAATTATCAGGTAGAAAACTCAAGCTGGAAGGGATTGAAGGAATGTTATGGTCTGACAGTTTAATTATGGCCAGTGATTGGCAAATGCATACCTGAAGGGGACAAAAAACTTTGAGTTTAACATATTTGAATAGCTACTCATCTCTCACAGTGCTAGACATTAGATTTATGAGCACGTGTCTTTCTCCAGATCTTGATCTCAAGTGTCTGAGCACTGACCACTGAGCTGCCACTTGCAGGTGGTGCTCCTGTTGCAGGTGGTGGCCTTACTGGGGCTGGTGTCTGTTCATGACACCGTAGAATACCAAAGAAGGGAAAGACATGTCTATATCTATATCCTAAGCATGATATAGATCCTGAAATCTTTGATTTTACTTAGATTTAAGTGCTTAAACACCCATGAAGGTGGGTACTTTCATCTTACTAAAAGAGAAAGAGGTGTCCCTCAATCTGGGGGACATCCACCACTGGCTGCAATTCTCCTTCGCATGGCACAGAGCTTGTTTAGGGGCTACTCTGCTTTTTGAACAATATCCTCAGAACAAGTGCTGCAAGAGGCCAGCACAAACACAGTATTACTCATTCATGCAGGAGGAAACTATATATTCATATCCATGCTATCATGATTTCACAGCTCATATGTTTTCTGTGTCCATTGTCTTGCAGGAACATGATAATGATCTCCCACAATATTCTGACTTGCAGTGTTCCAGATCTCAGTGCATGTGAAACAAGCTAATTGCACTGATGGCACTGTATTTTACCAGCTCCTAACCTGGCTCAAGATCTTCTGGTGGGGCTATTGCAGATGTGGGGACCATGCTATCAAATTCTTCTTTTTTAAATTATTTTTAAAACGGCTGACACAGTAATACTGTAAATAAGTCAAGCCAAGAATCTGCACAGAGACATGGCTAATATGGGATATTTAATTGGATATAAATGCTCCCTTGGGCATACTGTTGTCATCCAGTTTAATTTTGACCCCTACGCAGTAATAATAATGGAAATAATAAAATGCTGAACTCAACATCTAGAAACAGCTGTCTCTGCACCTAAACCTTAACAGTGTTTTCGCCCTATAGCACCACAGTTAGAGGAGATCTTTTTTTATTTCTTATGCAAATAGTAATTATACATAACACTTATTCTTACTTTACCTTAGCTTCCTTAAGATAATGGGAAAGAGAGGGAAGGTGAAGAGGGTTTCTATTATGGATAGAGTGGGGGTTGCAAAATGAAGACCATTAATTGATTGAGTTAATCAGAAAGTGACCTTAACTGCTCATCAGCTAAATCACCTACTGAATGGAATAATAATGATCAGGGCAAATTAGGATCCATAATATTGCTTAATAAGTAGACAATGGATTAGAGTGGAAAGATCTGACCATCAAAATCACAGAATACAATATATATAGCATTAGAGTGTGTGTATGTGTGTGTGCATATGTATGCATACTTGTGATGTTTTAGCTCTGATGGTCCAAGTATGTAAGCATGCTGGATACCATGGGGAGGGCAAGTACTTTTTAGCAGATCCACTAATATAGTCAAGAAAAAAGAGACTGGGTCCAAGGAGGGACAGTATAGCTGAAAGCTTCTGTGTTCTGCAGGTCATAGTGAAAGAGAACTACGTGTGAACTACTCTGTGCACTACGGCTACCTTGTGCTCAGTACAGTACTTTGCAATTTCACAAGGTTGTCAAGCCAACAGATCTGGGGTAAACAACTGAATTTTGTGGCAATTTCATCCATTTACATGGGAGATAAATTAAAATTTAACAAATTTTATTAATAAATGCAATGAAATAAGCAAGTTACTGCTGTTTTCAATTTAAGAAAAGAATCCATATATATATATGGAAAGGTGTATATATATATGTGGCATATATATATGTGGCATATATATATATATGGTATGTACATGTATATAGACGCCCCACTGCATGTAAGCATACTGGAGATAGGTGAAACATGCAGATAGCAAGGGACAAAGCTGGAACTGAGATCGAGAGGTGTGCTGTCAGCAGTTCCCTGGCCACATCCCTCTCTCTCCATCACTCATTCCTTTCTCTCTAGGCTTTTCTAAGAACTGGGTTCAGAGCAACCCTGATTTTTAAAAAAATCTTCCTTTTAGTTGCAAAATAATTGAAAACCTAGAAAAATCTTAAAGTTCCTTGGAGAATAAAAAGTAGTATTTAATTAAACTCTCTTTTACATCTTCCTCCTAGCATACTTCAGATTTCAATTTTTTTAATGAAATTTCAAAATGCATGGCATTTCAGCTACCCCTAAAAGACATGCTGTTACTAATTCACCTTGTTTAGTGTGTCAGACTGCAGTGGGGGAAAGGACGTTAACACATTTGATTCTCTTTCTCTCTTTTGAAACCAGGAGATTGATGGCAATGCTTTGTTACTTCTGAAAAGCGACATGATCATGAAATACCTAGGGCTGAAACTGGGACCTGCACTGAAACTCTGTTACCACATTGATAAGCTCAAGCAAGCCAAGTTCTGACAATTTCTTGAACAACAGAATCTGAGCTAAATCTAGATGGAAAACTAAAGGTAACATATTGCCTTACAGAAATGCATTCATTTGCAGATTGCTTTTCCCTTTTTTTTAACAAAGACTTGGTCTTTTTTAACATTTGTGCATTGTCACCTGTTTTTAATCCAACGGGATCTTTTGTGCTGCTTTGTGTTAATAATATGCCAAAAATTATATAATTACAATAATTATTTTGTATCATCAATATTATTATGATTATAGTAAGTCCTATTTTTGTAATCAGAAGTGGAAAATCAAAACCAAACGTAGTTACAGCATATGCTGAGGACTGCCAAAAGACAAATGAAATGTTCCTCACTTGCCATGGTTCCATCTCGGATGAGTAACCGCTGACCTGCATCGGCTGGGCACCAGCTACACTGTCCTTGCTCGAGGACCGAAAAAGTGCAGCATTTGGTCACCTACTGTCTGATGGGAGCTGTCTTGCACTATCTGGAAAACTTGAATTATTCACTTAAAAAAAAAAATTAAAAAAAAAATTTAAAAAAATAAAAAGAGAAAAAAGACAGAAAAGAGAGTTTAAAAAAAAAAATTAAGAAAGAAAGAAAATAGCGAGGGAAAGGATTTTTTCCCAGCTAAGGTATTTTTCCCCGCTAGAGGGAGCAGCTCTAGCAAACTTGTGGCTGGAGCTATGATGCCGTTCTGTGTGATGAGCTTTGACCACCATGACTCTCAAAGCGAGCACATCCGTAAGTACCGCCAAGGAATCACAGACTCCCAGCAGGATAAGCGCGTTACCATTTACAGATAATTAATTCAAGAAAAGCCCAAATGCAGAGAGTGTTTCTGACAGGATGTTTCCCGTTACACCAAACAGGGGGTGGACAGCTCCCACGGTGTCTGGCATGCACAGCTGTCAGCTCCCTTCCCCGAGCCGTTACAATCTGGCACACAGTTTGTGGCACTCCAAGAAAAAAATTCTGGGCAGCATTTCTGGGTTTTCGTTTGCACCGTGAAAAAGAGAGGGAGCCGGGTGGGAGTGTTCCTCATGAGGACCCGAGCACATCTCTGCAGTTTGCAATAATGGTCAGGTCCAGCACAGATGCTGTAGGGTTGGTTTCTGATTGCACCGTGGTTTTCAGTACACAGGTAGATGTGCTGGACTTTATGTCTCAAGTGAATTAAAAATTCACTTCTGCCTCTTACACAAATCTAAAAGGTGCCCATTGATACTACATGTAGTCAGGGGAGGATTACTTCCTCAAGCTGAGGAAGTAATCTGTGGAATGGGTATGTTCTTGTTTTCATCTAAAAGAAGGACTACAAGGGGACACATCCATATAGTTTAAACCCTTAGTGCATGACAAGGACAGGCAGCAAGCGTTTTTAAGTCATGCAGGTGATTTTAGAGCTAGTTGGCTCAGCTGACTTGAGAAATGGGGTCCTGATAATACACAAGACATCATGCTATTCGACCCTGTTTATGTAGAAAAGAATGTTACCAAAAATACCTCTTAGAATAAAATTCAACTTGATGCATGTTGCTAGTCTAGAACTCCTACCCATTCAAGGCCTAATCCTGAAAATCCTTAAAAATAGGAGAAACCACATCCTATAAGACTTTCACTAAATTCTTGGGGACTACTCCCCCAAATTAAAAGTTGTCATAAATTTGTAGGATTGTATCTTTACAGGACTGATCAGCTTTCAGCAAATCCTGTCTGCATGCCAAAACACTCTTAATAGGAATAGCTGAACAATTGTGTTAATTGAAAAGTCATATACTGTTGAATTATGTAATATATGGAACCCTAAATGTGCCAATGATTGGAACACAACACTCATCCTACATCATTTTGTGTTTGTGGTATAAAGAATGGAAATTCAGTCAGCTATCTGATTGAGGCAGAGGTGACTTCATCAACATCAAACTTGTACAGTTGATTCTTCACTCTTGCAGTTTTTAAATAAATTGGGAGGTTTCCCAAAAAGATTCACAAAATATGTAAAAATCTTGCTGTATTAGTAATATCACCTTCAGAGAGTCCTCAGACAATCTTTTTCTTTTTATTTCCCTGCCATTTTTAACTTAGTTAAACTCTGTGCTTTTTCAAAAGGTGATTTTAATTCCTCCACTTTAAACCCGATCTTGCTGTAATATATCAATAGTCAGGGCTGGTTAGACTTTATCAGATGGCTTCAGTGCTGGAAAATCCCACTTTGTCAAAATCAAAACTCTTCATAAAAGCATGTCACTTTCTAACATTAAATTCTATTTAACTGAAACTACAGCTTTCAGTAATGTCAAAACATCATTTTGACATTTTGGAAGTAGAACATTTGTGTTCAAAGAAGATTTTTGCATTTTTTTGTCTTTTCCTGGAGAATCTGTAGCCTCACATTTCATTCTGAGAGCGGGGAAAAAAAGCCACCCCAGAACTAGGCTTCCGTGAATAAGAATCCTTCCCATTCTGTTCTGTGTCTCACCCCTTCCTTCCATCCCCTCACCTGCCTCCAGACATTACAGCCAAGAGGGCTGATAATACCAATGCAGTATTAATAGACTCCGTGGTGGTAATGATGTTCATACATACGATTCTATATGCTGAAATAGTTTTCATGTATGTATCTGATGTGTACAGTCAGTGGTGCTATCTCATTTGATATGACACTTGTAGGTACGTCAGGACTGCCCAGGCCATGAGATTTAATGTTCTGTTTTTCACAGGGGAGGCAGTAAGAGGATTCATTTTACATGTAAGTAATGCTTGTAACAAGAATTCCTCTTTGTATGGTGGTTTGGGGTTTTTGGCTTTTTTTTCACTGAGAGGCAATAGGAGACACACATTACTGCAGTAATATTGCAATTGTAAATAATTTTTCTCTTTCAAGTCTTATTAGTGAACGTAGTTAAGCAGCTCTGCTGTGGTGAGGGTGTCAGGCCTTTTCCTCGGAACAGGCGCTGAAGAACCAGAACATGCATGTCAGCTGCTTCTCCACTGACTGCTGCTCTAGACACCACTTGTACAAATTACTTCACTTGCTATTCCTTTTCCAGCTCTTGCTTCAGGCTGTAGCCAACCCAGTTGTTCCCAACAGGTGGGTGGATGTGTGATACCTTTAAAAGCAACACATGTGCCTCTTTTTTACTTCTAAGCACTCATAGCTGGATCAAAAGACACTTTGGTTGCTTCAGGCAGCTTCAATTGTTTGTGAGCATTCACTGTTTTTAAAAAAAAAAAAGAAGCAAGCAGGCAAAGTCCAAGGATTTGGGGACCACTTCTCCCTTGCTGAAATGACAGTTACAAGGTGTTGGGAGCACAGAGACAGTCCTCCCTGGCAGACCATCTTCTTGCATCTAGCATGGCTGACCAGCTCGGCATCAGCTGCCAACACAGGCCACCCACACTGCTTTCTCATCCACCCGACATCACAGTCTCTTCTCTTGCACCAGCAAATGCCTCCTTTACTAGCCAGACCTAATTGAGTTTCAAGAAATGCCTCTGGGAATACCTCCACTTCTCAGAGCCCACTGTCTTGCTTGGCAGGCTGAGGAGTGCAGTAGCCTTTGCAGCATTAGCAGCTTCACACAGTGTGATTAATGCAGGCAGGCACCCTTGGGACTGGCAGGTAAAGCATCACCCTGGGCTGTTATTACCCTTAATGATTGCTGAACTTCTAAAGGTTGTCAGCAGTCTTCATGAGTTACACTTCCTTCCTTCTTAAAGAATGGATGGCTGCAAGAGATTAAATAGAGCATTATTAGCAAAACCAGCAATTAGCAAAACGACAAGAAAATGGCTGATGAAGTTTCTGTGTTGGATCAGCAACAGGAGCACACACCATCCTCCAAAGCCCAGCCATGACTGCAGCAGTTATGGATGGCCTTTCCTCTTGCCCTGGCACAGCCACCCCATGGTCCCTTCCTGCCCATGGGGTGCAGCACCCTCCCATCCCTCGCTGTGCAGTCTGGGGGCTGCGCAAGCTCAGGGAGGAATCTGTCAGCTCTTACCTCCCCAAAACATACCCAAAACCTTCAGTTAATTAGTTAGTGCCTTCTCTCTCTTTTCATTTTAATGGTTTCTATTTGAAAAAAGACAACAGGAGGGTGATTCCCCAGGTCCTTCCAGGAATGACCCCTCAGCTCACCACGTGAAGGAGCATCTCCAGGGTCAGACATCCACCCGGGTACAACTGGTCCTCTGTTGGCACAGGAGAGGGAGGCAAGAATAAAATGCCCCCTTTTTATTAATTAAAATTAAATGCTTTTCAGGCACTTCCCCCCTCTGAAATGCAGCCTCCCTCCCCAGAGCCAGTTGGTTGGCTCTTCCCCAAGCATCTCTCTCCCTCCCAAAGGAGGGAGGCAGAGAAGGTGTCCAAAAGGACTGCCTGCTGCTGGTTCATTCCAGCAAGGCAGCAGGTATGGAAGGACCAAAACCCGCTGCTACCCTGGTTTGAAACTGGTTTTGCTGGAAAGAGGTGTTGTGCCCTGGGATTTGGTCTGAGGGGTTTTGCTGTCCCAAATTCAAACACCTTTGTCAGAGAAAGCAGGCAAGTTCTTGCACACATTGCCTCTTATACCTTGCAGTATTTGCATGCTGTTCTCCAATCCGTGCTCCCTTCACGGGCAGTTGGAAATCGATTCCCTTGGAAATCTAGAATTTTGCTCAAAAAAAATCACTTTTATTCACTGCCAGGAGTTAAACATTATGGAAACATGTCTGCTAACAATTTGTTTTGCGTAATTTGTACTAATGCTAATAAGCAACAGCTGCAGCACTTCCTGTTGTAAATTCTTTTGTGGTTGCAGTGGAATTATCACATCTGTACTTCACAAATCTGATAGATTCGAGCACAGCTCTCTCATTCTGGCCCCAGCTCCAGCAAATCCCTATGCCTCAGAAGTACGGCTACACAAACAAGTATTTATAATCTCTGTCTCCCTTTGCTCCCAAAGCCTCCACTCCTCACAAGTACCTGGAGCAAGAGGGATTGGAGAAGTGGAG